TTTACAGTTAATCAACGGCATTTAAATGCATTCAACGGATGCTGTGCGTTGGCGCTCTCCATTGCGAACAAAGACCGCTCTGAGTATGCGAGAGCCATAAATATTTAAATTCTAGGTACATATGTGTGTGTAGTTATGTATACTGTATTGTTGCTCTCTTGTTGTTGTTGACAAATCAAGCCAATTTATTTAGTAAGCTTTTGTAGTTTGGTAAACAAATGGAGGGGGGTCCGGCAATTGTATTTTTACTCTCCAAATATGAATTTATACACACTATTAGCTTATACCATATTTGGTCAGCAAAAATCCCCCGCTGAACTCTCCCCGAAGGCGCCGACAGGTCCCACGAGGATATGGGGGACGCACTGCAGACAATACGCGCCTTTTTTAGTTGGGAGGTATTTAACTAAGATGCTCAGTAACAAACATTCAAATAAGAAGTCTTACGGTGGTTGGGACGACAAATGTGGACGGAGTCAACAATTTCAGAAATCATAAGAAAACGAACTAGCATTTGAGGTGGCTTGTCCTGAACCCCATGTAAATGAGGAATTCGACACACTTCAAAAAATTACAGAACAAATGCAGGAAGCAAAAAATTATGGAGGTAAAAGAATACGCCCTTGTAGAATTCCTATACATATAAGGAGCCTTTAATATTGTGTTCAATAGTGTAGGCATATCTTAACCTTTTGGGAAATTGATTGAACATATGCTCTTGGTCAAGTCAATAATTTCAACTCTGAAAACTTTAACAATGTAGAGATCTGTCCAAAGAGATACACCTCAAGAAGTTGTGTTATCTCCACCTCTCTGGATCTTAACTATGAATAAAATGTTATTAAATGTATTAGAGAACAGTATACGGGAAGAGGGTAAATTCCCAAATAACCTTGCGAGCCTTATGCAAACAGTATTAAACGACATAAATCGATGGGGCGTATGGTGAGGTGTAAACGTAATTGCTAATTAAACAGAGCTAGTACTACTCACTAGGTAAAACAAAACTACAGAAGTAATGCCACCATTAATAAATAGTACCAGACTTAAAATAGGGAATAGGGCAAGCTGCTTGGAGCTAATTTTAGAGAGGATGCTTTCATGAGAACCAAACTTTGACGGTAGAGTACAGAAAGCACCTCTTCAATGTTGGCTCTACACAGCAGTTGTAAACCGAATATGACATATGTCGCGTAGGCGTATAGAAAACATATAGAGAGCAGCTATTTGTATCAAAGAAGCTTTTAGATCAACAAATCAGACTCTAATTGTCAATTTACATTGCCAATAGACTTGTTCTGTAAGCAACTGGCGGAAAAGTCCGCTCTTAGACTGAGGAAATTCTTTTTTTAGCCTCTTATTATAAGGGACATTTTAAGATACCCTATCTTCGAAGCAAAAGCGTTTTTAAATCTAAAACCAGCGGTCAATACGAGAGTTACAATTTTTGGACGCGACGTCCTAGGCTTAACTTGGTATACAAAAAGAGAAAAATACAAGAAAGTAGGCATAAAATATACGCTGCAGATAGATTTTAGAAATTTATCTGATGAAAAATAGTTTACTGACTATTTTGTTTTTTGGCTATATTATTCCATTTCAGATTTTGAAGTGGAGGTTGTAAATTCTTGACAATGGCACAAATTGTCAATTATTTTCAAAAAAAATAGATCTATATGTATGTACATATACAGATGTACATATATTCCTGTATATAAGTAGGTTTACCTATGTATTTTAGATAAAACTTGGCTAGACCACAGCCATCTTCTCCATGGCATACCAAACACAATTTCAATATGCTACATTGATAACGAATTGAGAAGGCTACAAATATTAAATAAGAAAGCTGACGGCATCAAATCTCTGTTCTGTGACGTCAAGAACAAAAGAGAGCACAAAAGTTGAAGCATCATTATCGTTCAACACTCTATAAACCTATGCATATTAAATAAAGAATTTATGTACATGTGCATATCGTATTCAGGAGAGCATTGAGAGCGATAAAGAAAACTGTTGAGTAGGAATGTGTGTAGGTGGAAGTGTTGTATTGGTAGTAGGTACCCCTGGGAGAGCGATGGCAATAGCTTGGTTGGTAAATAATAGCAACAATAACAGTATCTACATACATATGTAGAACCCAATTTCGGGATGTAAATAAATTGATTAAATGTATGCAAATGGAAGTAGAGTAAAAGTACTCTTAAAAGAGTAAGCGGGATTTCTGTATGTGAGATTGAAATGTTTTAATAAAACAAATTTTCATTGGTAATGACGTGGTAATTTTCGTTACTGTTATAACACTAATACTGATTGAATGATTGGATTAAACTTTTAGTGGTTTCGTTGTAAAGTTCCGTTCTACTAACTTTTCAACAACTGAAAGCATTAAAAACAAGTAAGGAAGGGCTAAGTTCGGGTGTCACCGAACATTTTATACTCTCGCATGACAAGTTTCATCAAGATATCTAAATTTTTACTCTAGTCACAGCTCGCACAGACGGATAGACAAACATCCGGATTTCAACTCTACTCGTCACCTGATCACTTTGGTATATGTAACCATATACATATCTGAAGATATATACCGTTATTAGCAACTTTATTGCGAGAGTATARAAATGATGCCCTCTGAATTACATGAAAATATCTGAGAGATTTACCGATATTTTCGGTGAAAAATTAGGTTAGGTTAGGTTAGGCACTGAGGTCTTGTTCGATGTCAGGGACCTTGAAAAGTTATAGTCCGATCACGACAATTTTTCCATAAGGGATACCTCAGCTCAAATACCGCATTTGTGTAAAGTAATGTATATATTATACAAAGAAGGCATCAGATGGAATTCAAAATAGCGTTATATTGGAAGAAGGCGTGGTTGTGAACCGATTTCATCCATATTTCGTACACGTCATCAGGGTGTTAATAAATATTATATACCGAATTTCATTGAAAGAGTAGTTCCTGAGATATGGCTTTTGGTCCATAAGTGGGCGACGCCACGCCCATTTTCAATTTTTAAAAAAAGCCTGAATGCAACTTCTTTCTGAGATTTCTTCGGTTAAATTTAGTGTTTCTGACGTTTTTTCTTAGTCGGTTAACGCACTTTTAGTGATTTTCAACATAACCTTTGTATGGGAGGTGGGCGTGGTTATTATCCGATTTTTTCCATTTCTGAACTATATATAGAAATGCCTTAATGAAACAACGAGAAACACGAGATATGTACAAAAAACTTAGTAGGGGGCAGGGCACTCCCACTTTTCCAAAAAAATTACGTCCAAATATGCCCCTCCCTAATCTGATCCTTTGTGCCAAATTTCATTTTAATATCTTTATTTATGGCTTAGTTATGACACTTTATAGGTTTTCGGTTTCCGCCATTTTGTGGGCGTGGCAGTAGGCCGATTTTGCCCATCTTCGAACTTAACCTTCATATGAAGCCACGAAATACGTGCACCAAGTTTCATCATGATATCTCAATTTTTACTCAAGTTACAGCTTGCACGCACGGACAGACAGACATCCGGATTTCAACTCTACTCGTCACTCCGACCACTTTGGTATATATAACCCTATATCTAACTCTTTTAGTTTTAGGACTTACAAACAACCATTATGTGAACAAAACTGTAATACTCTCTTTAGCAACTTTGTTGCGAGAGTATAAAAACAAAATATATCCAAAACTTAGCAACTTCGTCGAGAGTATAAAAATATACATTCAAAAAAATATAAGTCAAGCCCTAAAACTAGACAATTTAGGATACAGAAGTTTTCTTTCAAGACAGGGCACCAATATAATGAATTAATATTCCGCTGCATTCTTCGCAATACATATATATTGTATGTACATACATATGTATGTATATGAATATTTTATGCTCCTCTTTCTTAAATTGTTTAATTTTCACCAGGCATAAGAAGTTTTGAAGCCTTAGAGGGGAACCTAAAACAGGCTAAAAAGTAATCCCGCGGTTTTGAATATTTTTGCTCGTATTTGTCGTTAGCAATACTTGTAACATTTAGCGAGTGAACGAAAATATACTAGAATTATGTATGTATGTATCCTACAATTATTTGAAAACATGTTATTTACGCTCCGAGTGCGATGCAAAAATACTTCATTTACTACTCCTCGTTCGTTCAATAAGTTACTCATACTTCCTCTGTGCTCAATTGTCCACTTGCTTAACTCTATTGTTTCTTTTCGTTCGAACTGATTGTACTCGTATGCAGTTCTTTTATCAATCCATACGAGAAAATAATATGGTATTTAGGCGGAAGGCGGTGCATTCCTACCATTGTTAATGTGATAATTCTGATCGGGACTAAGTGAATTTCGTTTTTCGTGTGTGTTTTCGGTGTATACTTATATTTATATTTATTATTCGTTTTATTGATAGCAGTTTTTATTTTTACTTGTTTTCGATTTTGCTCATGCTGCCATTTGTTTTGTGTAGTTCGCACTTAATTTGTTGTTGTTGCGTTATTTGTTAAAAGCTGTTGACAATTGAATTTGATTAATAGCGGGATTCTGTAACCAGTCTCTAGTCTCTATTTGAGACATTTTGCGGTAAAATCTCAATTTGTGACTAGTTACTATTCAACAGCCTCTAGCTTTAGTCTCAAAATATTGCCTCAAATTTGAGACCTGGTAGTTAGCAAGCCACAAAACCAAAAAGAACTCTTGTCTGCCATTTTGAATATACTGAATAGAGATCACCAAAGATATTAATCGATTGTTGTTTTTTATATTTTGTAAGCAACTCAAACACGAAAAGGTTAAAATAAATAAATTTTACATAAATTTCGTTAATATTATGAAACAAAGTCAACATATATTTTTATTTTTATTGATAATTACGTTTTTTGACTATGTTATAGAAAATTTAATATTTGTTATCGACATATTTATTTTCACTCAAGTATAAAAACATCTTTGAATAATGAAATGTAATAGAGTTTGTGACTATCACTTACAAAATAGCAAAATCGTCTCAAGTCTCAAAAATTGCCTCTGTCAAATTTAGAGACTTGATACTGTATCACAGTACAGAATCGCACGGTAAGTGCAAGTGACCACGAGAATGCTGATTGCCCTTACCTCTTTGAAGTGTGTGCGTGAATATACGACTCTATTTGCCTGGTTAACCGTATGCTTTTATAATCTTCCTAAATCACTATTTTTGCGTATGAGAGTATAAATAATTTCGTACATCGTACACATAAAGTATCTAGGAAGAATAGGTACTTAGGTACCAAACCTATTGTTATTACGCGCGTGTTAGTCAAGCTCGTGCGGACGCGTGTGAGATGCGTGCACCGTCTACAGATATTCAAGATCCTATTATTGACCCAAAACTCGACGTCCTAAGTAGTAGTGGCGTTCCGTCAACTGATGATTCTGCAGTGTCTAAAGTGTCTTCAAGTGAAAATGCTTTGATCAATGTGGCAAGTATATCAAAAGAACAAGCCGAATACGAGGTATCTTTTTTCAACAACATTCGAAGAGTTCATTCGACTTATGGGAAACAATGTTTTGGAAACAATTGTAATGGAAATATTAACAACAAAATATTTTTCTCTGACCAGATCACTTATGTAATCAGATATGTCCTGCCTAATGGAACACCTGTAGAACGGTTTCTCAAGTTTATTCCAACACAGGCCACAAATCACAACAAATGACAGATGCTGTTACTTCAACTTTAACATTTTAACAACGTTGACATTTCAAACTGCCGCGGGCAATCATATGACAACGCAGCTAACATGTCAGGCAATTATAACAGCCTGCAAGCTAAAATAAAGGAAATTTCACCCCTTGCCGACTATGTTCCCTGTTCAGCACACTCGGTGAATTTAGTAAGGTAAATGTGCAGCTGAAAGCAGCTAAGAGGCTTGTTCGTTCTTTTCTCTACACCAAGATTTATAAAATTTCTTTGCAGCGTCAACTCAGCGTTGGGAACTCCTTCAAACCCATTTCACCGTCAAAAGTTTCCTCCTTGGTCAGCTCGTGCAGACGCATGCAAAATTTTCCGCGAATCCTGGACTGAAGTCCATAAAGAGCTTGTCACCATCGAAAATGACACACAACAGAAGAAAACCGTTATATGCGAAGCAAGAAGTATTCGTTTGAAACTGGAACGTTTTGAAACGGCCCTCATAACTGTTTTTTGGGGATGCTTACTAGAACGCATTAACGCCACAAGTAAAAAACTTGAGAGTGTGGAAATTGACATTACCTTTGTCATTGAATTGTACGAGGCTTTAATACATTTTGTTGGCGAAACAAGAGAGAATTTCGATGATTTAAAAATAAAAGGCGAAAAACTGTCCTTCGTACAGGAATATGAAAAAGATTTTCGACGCAACGGAAAGCGTAAGCTGCTTCCTGGCGAGACAAATACATGTGAAGGGATGCAACAAAAAAATGGCCGTGAAAATTTTAGAATAAATACTTTTTAGTAGTTATTGATACATTGTCAGAAGAACTGAAAAGACGTCGGGATGCTTATAAATTACTATACAGTAAATTTTACTTTATTACCAACCTGACGAATCTAAACATCTCAGAAGTCGAAGATAAGGCCAAGGAAATCAGCGATAGAGACATAATTTTACACCCGAGATGGTATGAGGGGTATTTATTGGAATCGGGATAAAAATTTCACAATGGGTATGGCGCCGCTGACTTTTAAGTAAAACGACATATCTGGATACCGCCAGATCGATTTCGACTAAATTTAATCCGTAGCATTCCACTCCCAGTCTTATCTCATAGTATGAAAATGTGAGGTACCTTAAGGCGGTACTTACTTATTTATTTATTTAGTAGTAGAGTCTAGAGGCTCGAATTTCGAGCTTTTTTCAACAATTAATAAAAAAGAAGCAATAATTGTTTTTACTATCCATTTTTTTATCATTTGTTTATTCAACTTAGAAGAGTACACAAAATAGATTTAAAAAAAAATATTTTTTTCATCGAGTTATGGGTCCTTGAAAAGAAAGGGGGGAGGAGGGAAAGAGGCCATGTCCTCATCGTTTCATTTCTATCCTTGTCGTCATCTGAGAAATAAGAGAATGACAGATTCTTAATGAGTACGAACGTCGCTATGTCATGAAGCAGCAAACAATTTTTTTTTTTTTTTCATAAAATGACGGTTACTCAAAAACAAGGCCGATTTTTTCACTAATTTTTCAATTTTGTCGATATTTTTAAAAATATTATAAATTTCAAATTTCTATTTTTTATTGCTTCCAGTGATAGAGATATATTTAAAGAATATTCATGCCAAACTTCAAATAAATCGACTGATTAGGAGTTGAGATATTGTGGCTACCGCATCAAACAAAGGAGTTTTGAGAAAAACGCGTTTAAATGTTTAAGTTAAGTTTCGGACAGCGTAATATGTATATAGATAGACTAGCTTTTACCTGCGACTTAGTCCGCATAAGTTTTTTCGTTTTCTCCCGGCTGTAAGTCCCCCTGCAACAATGTCCCACTATCGTGTTCCGGTCCTCAACTTCACATCAAAATTTCTTCAAAAGCAACCTAAGCACATAATGGATAGCTCCGAATGAGTCCTTAGTAAATATAAAATGTAAATAATATATAAATGTAAATAATGTAATGTATTAGTTTAAAATACTACTAACTACCTACCTAACTGCCAACCTCCGATGTTAGACAGTGTGACATCCGCAACATTGTCTGCGTAGGGAATATTAACATAATGAAAGTAGTATAATAATATAGGAAGATAACAATAAGAGGGCTTAATACTGAAGTACATTTTTGTAAACTATGTCCTTTGTTTCTCCCTCACACAAAAACTCTTTTCGAAATTAATGCCGGCTACTTTTAATGTTTGCCCCTGAGCTTTATTTATCGTCATAACGAATGTGATTTTCAGTGGAAACTGGAATCTCTTAAACTGGAATGGCAAATCTGTCGGATTTATCGGTATACAGGAGATTAAAGCATTCTCTCCTTTTGCCATTCCAGTCATAATGATTGTTTTTACAATATTGCGACTGAGGTGTGTTACTTGCAACTGCGTGCCATTACACAGTCTTGGTGCATCTAAATTCCGCATCAAAAGGACAGGAACGCCTACTTTCAACCTCAGTTTGTGTGAAGGTACTCCCGACAGTTCTAAAGAATTACAGGGTATAATGTTACTTGTTCAGTATCCATTACAGTGTCTGCAGAGAAAAACTCAACAACGTCACCTCCCACGTGTGACATAATTTGCTCGTTTATCTCTCCCACCATTTCATTAGTCGGCGCTAAAATTACTCTTTCACATAACCATTCACTATTCCTCATATTAGTTAGCAGTTCGCTATGGACAAAGTTATTTAGATTATCTGGATTATGCACAACATTGCAGAAGTTACGATCCAATGTAATCATGCTAATTTAAATTAGCGTCATTTGCACAGCGTCTTGAAGATGGATGTAATTCTCGGGTCTTAGTTTAGTTTGATTTAATGATATGTACCGTAACCTCTCGCTTTTAACTTTAATGTACTTATGTACATTTAACGTAAAACTAATTGGCCAGTTCTTGCATCTTTGTAAAATGTTAAAGTTGTTTTCTCGTATCATCATGTTGTAGGCGTAAAAATCCATGCATGAAACCTTTTTGTTATGCAAGGGAAGACCTGTTACAGGATTAATTTGAGGAACTTGAGAGTAGTACTTCTTGTCTTGGTCTTGTCCCGTACTAAATATGATCAGATATTGCAACGCATCGTAAAATTTATGAGTATCAGGCACCCTGGTTAAWGTGTCATCTCGGGCCTGTAAAACTATATCACGGGAAGCAAACTGTTCGCCTGTAACCATGGCTGCGACTTCATTTATTAACGGTGCATTATATTAATGACGTCATCTTAAAGCAAGAATTATGTTTCCTAATCTTGCTTAAAAACCGACGCCATTCGTTACTGTCGTATAAAAGTAAATATTTAAGAGGTTCCTCTGGCTCGCCAAGTAATGGAATTTTAACCTTTCCACCAGAAGAGCATATACCTGGAGTTTCTTCTTTCCAGTTCAGTGCTTCACAATATCTGCATTTTTTATCCATTGCCTCAATGATAATGATCGGTGATTAATATAGTCGATCAAAAGGTCATACACAAAAGCGGCACCATTAAATGCCTTACACGTTCTCATTGAAAACGTACGTCTTCTTTCTGCCTGTCGTTCAGCATTTAAAAGACGTCGCCTTTGTGAATCTTCGTCAGTCTCTGCCGCAATCAATTGCGCGCTCCGTTCGGCGTCTAAAACTCGACGTGTCTGAGTCTGTTCCACTGTCTCAGAAGCTCTTTGAGCTGCGTGGCGTTCAGCATCCCGGGTCTGACGGGCCTGAGTCTGTGTAAAACTCTCGAAAGCCCTTAGAAATGCGGGGCGTTCAGCATCCAAGGCCCGACGTGCCTGACTCTGCTCTAAGGTCTCAGAAACTCTTTCATTCGCATGACGCTGAGAATCTAACATTTTACGCGTCTGAGTCTTCTCTTCAGATTCTTGGCTTTTAGCTACTTTTGCAGTTCGAGCTCTGCTAGAACTACGACTTAGATTGGATTTACGTTTGCGTGGCATAACGAAAACAATAATTAATGATTTTTTCAATCGGTAGTTTTATAAACTACACCGTAAGACAATTTTTTATAAAAAACTTCGATAAAGCAAACCTTTTTACTTAAAACCTTAATATCTAAATCAATCAATAACGTATTGAACCTAAACAACTATGCACCTAACAAACCTTTATACCTAAAACCACATCCTGATGTGAGCTAAAAAACACTTAACCTATACATGAATTGAGAATTAACAAATGAAAGCGACTGCAAAAATAAGTAATAATACGTATCTGATTAAAATTAGATATATGAATGATTGGTTAAGAAAATTAACTAAGTACTATCTATCTTTTAACTAAATTTCATCAAAACCCTTTCAGCCGTTTAGGCATGATAAAGCAAAACTCCCAGCACTAACTCAATTCAGTTTTCTGCCTACTTCCTACCCCCTAAGTACGATGACGTGATCATTTTGACCTCATATCCGTTTTTAGGTAACCATCTATTACCTTACTAAATTCCATCAAAATCCGTTTAGGCTTTCAGACATGAAAGAGTCAAGAAGTCCCAACAAAAACGACTAAAAATCACTAACTCCATTTAGTTATCTGCCTACTGCCTACCCCCTAAAAACGATGGCGTAATTATTTATAGCCTATGACCATTTCTAGGTTATCATCTATCACCATACCAAATTTCATCAAAATCCGTTCAGCCGTTTAGGCGTGAAAGAGTAACAGACAGATAGAGTTACTTTCGCATTTAGAATATTAATAATAAGGATAGATAGTTCGCTCAACCGGTCTAGTTGCCACGTCACTAAAATGGCTTTAATTTTGAAAATAATTCGAGTTTTGAAAAATTCTTTTAGGGAGATATTTTTGAGTATCAAAACTATCGATTTATGAAAAAAAAATTTTAAAATTTCTAGACTAGAATACCCCCTTAATGAAACCCAGGGGCCATTAAAAATTGGCCCCTACGATAAAAACTATCAAACACGGTAACTGTAAAGCAGTGAGATTTGACTTTAATGTTTAATATTGAAAACCGTTATGCATATGTACGCACAAGCTAACTAGTCATAACAATTTGGTTACGAATGTGAATATGAACATTAATTCCATATTAATAACATATGAAAATAGTAAATCCTGGTGCGTAAGATAAATACGCAAATCAATATTGGATATTCAACAGCAAACAGGTATTCATTACGATTATTGACAGCAGCACATCAGTTTGGCAAATAATAATATTGGAAAAGCAGTCAACTAAATTTATTTATGATCGTAAAATATGAATGTAGCTTTCAATAATCGCCTGCAATGGAACTCCAGCTGCATACCAACACCATATGAATTAACCATTAAACAAAGTTACGCTTCCACACACACATTCATGCTAATAAAATAAAACAGCTCGTTATATCCGTACTACAATCACGAACAAGACAAATGCAGTTAAAATATGAAAGCATTAACTTCGGCTACACCGAAGCGTTAACACCCTTCACAGAGACATTTGTTATACTAACTATATATATATATAGAATATATATATATATGTACATATATAGCAAAGGTTTACATTCCACTGGCAACGGTTTACTTGTTCTTTCTAGCCACGTTGTTAATAGAATTATACCCTGTTCAGTATCTATTTGTGTTAGATAGTCAAATAAGAAAAGCACTTTCAAATATTCACTAAACTGCGTTCAAATTTATGAAAGCTCAAATCGTATTCATTCGTGAAATTGGACAACGTATGTGGCACCTTCTAATTTAATGTATGCACGGTGAACCAAAATTGCTACTAATGTATGCCTCCTCTATGTGAAAATATACCTTTATATAAGAAAATCGTCATATAGTCCGAGGTTGCACCAAGTTAATACCAAAATAATATTGGACAACGTACAATGTACATATGTATGTGTTCTAAATATATTTTTATTATTAGTAAATCTTTATATATTGAATCTGCTTGTTGTTCAAAGCCTAAAAATTGGTAATAAAATATATTTTAAACTATACAAGCTGAAGGCTCTAGTTGAACCTGTTTGGATAAGTTGCTCTTTAGAAAGTTGGTAGTAAATTTTTTGGAACGAGTTTAATTAGCTAATGCAGTTGGATAGTTACGGAGTTTAAAGGATCATGTCAGTGATGTCAGTGTGAAATTTTCGAGAAATCGATTTTTTTTTGTTGCATTATCGGATAACATTCTCTCAACTT